ATAATATTATACTATAATATAAAGTACTTATCATAAATTTAAAAAGTAATTTATATGTTTAAAAATATTTATTTATATAAATTTTAAATATAATTTATGTATTTAAATATAATATTTATTTATATATAATTTATTATATATAATACACGATAAAATAATAATAAATATATAAATTATGAATGTCAAATTTATGTTTAAAAATTAAAATTAAAATTTTACTATTTTATTTTAAAATTAATTAAAGCGCATGAGTGAAGAAAAAACAATGATTAAAAGAGAGGGAGGGAATAGTGCGTGTTAGTTTTCATTTCAACTGCGCAAGCGCAACATAAAACCCTAACTCCAAAACCCTGAGCACTGTGAGTAGGCGGTGTTGGGTTAAAACCATCTTCTTCTTCATACCATAGAAACCAAACAGAAGAATAAGAATTATGGGCATATTTGAACCTTACAGAGCAATCGGATGCATCACAAGCAGCGTCCCCTTCTCTGTTCAGAGACTCGGCACTGAAACTTTCGTTACTGTCAGCGTTGGAAAGGCTTTTCAGATTTATAATGTAATTTATCACCCTCGTGCAAAGGACTTCTATTAGTTTTTTTTTTAATTTTTTTATTTGTTAAATTCACTAATACTGATATTAATTTGTTCTCTGCAGTGTGCCAAGCTCAATTTGGTTCTCGTTGGTAAGACTCTACTTTTTCCTCTTTTTTTTTTTTTTTTTTTTTAATAAGACTCTGGAAACTTAATAATTTTTGGTTCTTTTAATAATTGTAATTTTCCGTGAAGGTCCTCAACTGCCGAAGAAGATTAATGCTCTTGCTTCCTATCGCGATTACACTTTTGCTGCGTATGGAAACAACATTGCAGTTTTCAAGCGTGCTCACCAGGTTCTCTACATAATGCTCTGCTCTTTCTGTATTGTTATTTCAAAGCTTTTAAGAAATTTTAACATTGGATGTCTTTTCAGGTTGCAACTTGGAGCAATCATAATGTTAAGGTTAAGCTGCTTCTGTTGTTCGGAGATCATATTATCAGTGTTGATGTTCGTGGCAACATGTTCTTGTGGGCATTTAAGGGAATTGATGAGAACCTTGTTCCATTTGGGCACATAATGCTAGGTGAGAAATTTAGCCCCAGCTGCATAATGCATCCGGACACTTACCTAAATAAGGTAAACATCCTTCTCTCTTCAGAATATTCATAGAAGTTGTATTTTGGTTTCTTTATGATTGAGAAGCATGTAAGCAGGTTCTTATTGGGAGTGAGCAAGGTCCTATGCAGCTTTGGAACATTAGCACAAAGAAAAAGATTTTCGAGTTTAAGGGATGGAATTCACCCATCTCCTGCTGTGTTTCATCCCCTGCCTTAGATGTTGTTGCAATTGGCTGCATAGACGGAAGGATTCATGTTCACAACATTCGTTACGATGAAGAGTTGGTTACATTTACACATTCTTCACGTGGTTCAGTGACCGCCTTATCTTTCAGTACTGGTAGGAGCAGAAAGGTTTTTATTCAAATTCATTCATGCATTGCACTTGTTACAGTGCTTTTATTGTAGATGTCATACTACTTTACAGATAATTTATTTGTATTTTGTTCGTCTTAAGCAACATTTAATTTTGTATTGTCTCTACTTTTAATTTGTCTCATTTTTTATTTTTTAGAACAAAAAAGATTAATATCTTTTAGGATTTCTGGTGACTGATAATGAGATCATTAAGTAAATTACATAATTACTTGCTAATACAATAATACATGTGTTTTTGAAGCCTTCTTCAAATTAATTGCTTGTGATATTTGAACAACCAACATTTTACCATTAAGAGTCTCAGAATTCTTTTGATCCTCCTTAAATTGAATACGTCCAGCTTGACGTACTAAAATGGGGTTGTGGTATTAATCAACTTGATTATTTGTCTTATAGAATATATTTCTTTAGTGTTCTTGTGTTACTTTTCCCTGTCAGAGAATTTAACCCATTGTCTTCTTCCAATAAGAATATATTACTTAAATCGAAGAACTGCTTCTGTTCAAGTTTTTTTTATATTATTTAGTGAATTAGTGGTTTGTGCTTATTTTATTTGGTTTATTTATTTCACCTATTTTAGATGGACAGCCTCTTCTAGCTTCAGGAGGTTCATCTGGTGTTATAAGCATATGGAATCTGGAAAAGAAAAGGCTCCAGTCAGTTGTAAGAGAGGCTCATGATAGCGTGATCACATCACTACATTTTTTTGCTAATGAACCAGTGCTAATGAGTTCATCAGCAGACAACTCTGTTAAGGTAAGAATTATTTTGACGAAGATGCACACATGTGTATATGTGTTTAAATTAACCTGAAGAATATTCTTTTGAGTGTAACTTTAGATGGTTATCTGTTCAAATTTTATAGAAAAAAAAGGAAGTTGTTTAAAAGATGGTAAGCTTGGGTGTCTGCAATATGATACCAATTATTAGCAATTTAACATTATTTTCATTAATGATAATTTCTTCTCATAGAAAATTATTAATTTTTAGTGAATAAAATCAGCTAAGTTTTTGTAAGGTTGAGTTAGAATTAAACCCACATTCTAAGATAGTATTAAAGTCTATTATTGTGATTGTTGTTGGACCTATTGTGATCTTTACTATCAGGCTATTATCGGATCACCCGCAGATGTTCAATCATGCAAACTTAACCTTTGAGATGTCTAATTCTCAGCGTATATTGGAGATCTCACATCAACTAGTGGTTTAGACAAATTAGTGCGTATAAGTGGGGGACAACCCTCTCTTTACAAATCAATTTTATAGTGTTAAGTTAGGCCTCAATCCACATTTTAGTATTCTTTACTGAGTGAATATAGTTATTAGTTTCCAGCTTGATGACTTTATACTGGACTATATTTAGTCCTTTGTACTTTACTAGTTATTATCATGGCTGAAGTTTGTGATCATATCATGGTCCATTTTGGTTCATTTTCCTTTTAATGGAAAGTGTTTCTGAGAAACTTTTTTGGTTCTATAAATAGGATAATTTATTCTATGGAAGGATAAAAGTTTTTCAATTTTCACAATTGGTGTGAATTATTTTTTGAACTTTTTTACTTAACCATTCCTCCTGATGATGTGAGAAAATATCTGTATTTTTTTTCCTCAGATGTGGATTTTTGATACAAGTGATGGTGATCCTCGTCTCTTGCGGTTTCGAAGTGGGCATAGTGCCCCTCCCCTTTGCATAAAGTAATAATTGTTTTCCAGTTTATTTATATATGAATGTTTTTTGATCAACTTTGTTATGTACATGTTAATGTCTGTAAATATTATACTGTGGTGCATTTGGTTAGAAAGTAATGATTGGACTTTTTTTTTGAAGGAAGAATTCTATTGATCATTAATTATGCTTTGGAAAACTATTGTTTTCTGGGTCTCTCTATGTGAGGAGCTATTTTGCCGAGGGAATATAGAGCTATATAGTTTTGCTTGAGATTTTTTTTGTTCCTTTTCTGTGGGTGACTTATTATTTTTGCAAAGGAAGATTCATTATCCTGAAAGATGTTTAATCAAATGGCTTAAATTAAGCTATTCGGATTTTTTTTTCCGGATTGTGACCTTATTACATAATGATTGTGATTTTGTACTTTTAATTAAACATGTACCACATTACTTACTCATGCTTGCAAAATATATGGCAGGTTTTATGCCAATGGAAGACATATTCTATCAGCAGGTCAGGATCGCGCCTTTCGTCTTTTCTCTGTAGTTCAGGTTGGTTATAATTCATTTATAGAGGATGTATTTCTAGAGAAATATTGTTTTGTTCTAATTATGCTCCCCCTCTCCCTCTCCTCCCAAAAAAAATGTCCCTATTTATTTGGAAAAAAGAGTTTATTGTTTCATTACTGATACTGGCAGGTAAAATTATACACAACATTGCCAATGTGTGCAGATAATTTTCTTTGACTATTAAAGATCATTATGAAAATTTATTCCATGAAACCAGGTGTCTGTAGTCCATTGTTGCCTATTATCAACAGTCAAGGATGCAACCAAAGCTAGTCCTTTGCTAATTCGTATTAAAATCATAGCCTTTTCTCTAGTTTCTTCAGGAAAAAAAAAAATATACACAACATTGCCAACGTGTCAGACGATTTTCTGACTATTAAAGATCACCGTGAAAAATTTATTCCATGAAACAGTTGTCTGGAGTCTATTGTTGCCTATTATCACCAGTCAAGGATGCAACCATAGCTAGTCCCTTGCTAATTCATATTAACGAAATAGTCTTTTCTCTTGTTTCTTCTTGTATGGTTACCTAGTTCTTTGGATGCAATGCCAATGTGCATTCGGATATTATTAAGTGTATACTTATATTTTAATTCTCGAGCTGGTTGGCATGCATATTTATTTTTCACCTCTACTATATTGGCTATACTTCATAGCTTAATCTTTTCTGCCTGTTTTCTGTGCATTATGTACTCAATTACTTTCCCCACATTTACAACATTTATGTATTTATTGAAATTTTATTAGGATCAACAAAGCAGGGAGCTTTCTCAACGGCATGTTTCTAAACGAGCTAAGAAACTGAAAGTGAAGGTATGACTGGTGTTCTTGTTTTGACTTATTGTTGAAACTGCACATAAAGACTTTTGGAGCTGTTTTGCCACGGACTTTGCTGGGGTTGGTTAGTTAGGGGTAGTTCTGGTTGCGTAGCTGGTGGGTTGAGTAGTATGTTTTGATTTCCTTTGTTTTCTGTTGAGTTTTGAGTTTTTTATTTTAAACTCTTCACTCTAGTAAAAATATTTTTAAGCTAGAACCAGCTCATGGTGCTTCAACCTGCAGATTCTATCTCTTTTTTCAACAAACTTGTCAGAGAAGAGTAAAATTGGATCTTTCAATGGTTCAGACTTAGATTCAACTTGTGATTTGTTGACATCTTGTATTTGTTGAGTGCAGTACATCATGGTTCTTTTATGCCATGTTCAAACTTGAATGTCAATAAAAGGGAGATTGTAATTATTTTAATTCTATAAAACCTGGTTATTAGATTGTTGATAGCTTTTATCCCAATCAACCTTGTAAATGTATTCAGGTGATAATGCCTCAATTGGGCTTAAGCTATATGTCAACATGGGTAACGAGTGGAATAAGAAGTGTGTGGTACTCTGATTCTTTTCTTTTTGTTTTTGAACAATCCATATTTTATTGAAAATATCTGGTAGTTGGTAACCTTACTTTATTCAATTTAATGATTATGGTGCATTTAGTTATATTTGCATTGTTATTACAAAATAACTGCTGCTTGTGTGAACTCTAAGTTTGCAACTTGTGTTTTACGTACTTGAATTCAAATTATCTACTTATCCTCTTATGATTTGTATGTATGTGTGTTGCACAGGTGGAAGAAATAAAATTAAAGCCTGTGATTGCATTTGATTGTGGTAAGTTCTGTTTTGGCATTTTTTTTCATTCAGGTGGAATTGTGCTAAAGACCAAACTTATAAATGGAACTTCAGCTAATGACTTGATGTTTATATGAATTGCTTCTTTTGATTTGTTAAAAGCATAAATGAAGTTGAACTGATAAATGAATGATTGATGGTTATATAACCATAGGTTTACACAGGTCAATGGTGAATGACAATATTTGTGTTACCTTCCTTCTAGTTTGATTAAGATTTAGTAATTGTCACAATTTTGGAGTTAAAATCATTGAGATAGGAGAAAGTTACTCTGAACTTGCAGGATAAGGGGTCCTTCATAAGAAAACAGGTTAAAAATTAAATAACAAAGGAAAGGAGAAAACATCAATGGAATAAGAATAATGCTGCCTAATCTCTCTGCATGTGTTAAGGAAACGCCTTTAGATACCATTTGCTTTAGAAGCCAATCACCAAATATTGTCCCAGATTAGCTGTTGAGTGAAAGAATAGACATACATGTGTATGTAGTTTATCTTTTATCACACTTGCAGAATTCTTTGCTCAATGGATTTATTATATAAACTGCTGTCAGAAGTATGACATAATCTTTTCTTGTGTGAACTTCAGCCGAAATTAGAGAACGTGATTGGTGCAACGTGGTTACTTGTCATATGGATACTGCCCAGGCATATGTTTGGAGACTTCAAAATTTTGTTCTTGGTGAGCATGTATTGAATCCATGCCCTGAAAATCCAACACCTGTAAAGGTTAGGAATTCCATTCCATTCAATATTTTCTGTTCCCTGACAATCATTGCTTTCAAAGGCGATATGTGAAAATTGTTGTACTTATGTTAGTTCCTTAGTTTTGTTGTTTCAAATTTATTTTAATAACGGAAAATCCATTGGATGTGTGGCATAATAACAATACAAATGTGGCATTTTTCTTAGGTTGTCAATATTTAAAAGCATGTTGACTAACAGGGATGGGTTTTCGCTGACTACTGCTTTCATATGGTAACAGGCTTGTGCCATCAGTGCTTGTGGCAATTTTGCCTTTCTAGGGACAGCAGGTGGTTGGATTGAAAGGTTTAACCTTCAATCTGGAATTAGCAGGGGTACTTACATTGACTTGTCAGAATCAAGAAGTTGTGCTCATGATAGTGAAGTAGTTGGAGTTGCTTGTGACTCAACAAATACTCTCATGATAAGTGCAGGATACCAAGGAGATATAAAGGTTCTTATTTGCTGTTTGAAGGCTCTCTAATTACCACTTGTTAAAGTTAATAAAGAGCAATCGTAATCACTCTGGTTAGCATAGCTACATTACACTGGAAATACTGATATAGTACATTTAATTGCAGGTTTGGAATTTCAAAGAACGTGATCTTAAATCAAGATGGGAGATTGGTTGTTCTGTTGTTAAGATTGTTTACCATCGTTATAATGGTAAATTGAATCTGTTACTTTTCATATTCTATTATCCATGTGTTTTGTATATTCCTAATTCTTGTTTTGTTAAAAAAATAATTATGATGAGAGAAATTTCTGCTGTATGATTCATACACTCGGGTCATGAAGTGATTAGAGTTTTAATAATTTTTAGGTCTCCTGGCTACAGTAGCAGATGATTTAACAATTCGATTGTTTGATGTCGTGGCTCTTAGACTTGTTCGTAAATTTGAAGGCCACAAAGATCGTATAACAGATTTGTGCTTCAGTGATGATGGGAAGTGGCTTCTGTCATCTAGTATGGATGGAAGTCTTAGAATTTGGGATGTAATCTTAGCAAGACAGATAGATGCAATACATGTTGATGTACCTATCACAGCATTATCTCTGTCCCCAAACATGGATATATTAGCAACTACCCATGTTGATAAAAATGGAGTATACCTATGGTAAGTTTTCAAATTTATTTTCTAGGCACAGTGAACATAATTTTGCGGATAACATTTTCCATTTTTTCAAATGTTTATTGCATTTTTGATATATATCCTTTTTTCGGCTTTGGCGTGTAAATTCATTATAAGATGAGGATACTGATTTTCTCGAGTGAAGGTTGTTTCTAGAATCACTAGAGATGTATGCTTAGCTGAGGTGACATTCTCCATGTAAAACATTTCCACTATCATTTTTCTTTGGAACAAACAAAATATTGGTTTTGTTATATTGCTGAAAGTTACGGACAATACTGAATGGGAAAATTGTTATTTGTGATTAAATGACGTTGAATGGTTCTATTAATTGAGAGGAAGTTAAATATGTTAATCAAAAAACATTTTTGACAGTGAGAAATTTTATCAGGGTAAACCAGTCGATGTTCTCTAGTACTTCAAATGTAGATTCGTACGCAAGTGGAAAAGAGGTTGTGAGTGTCAAGTTGCCATCTATCTCTTCTGCAGAACGTTCTCGAGATGAGCATTCTGATGAGCTGGTGAATGCATCTCAACCTAAAGATGCACTGGATTTTCCAACTCAAGATAAGCAAATACCGGAATTAGTTACACTTTCACTACTGCCTAAGAGCCAGTGGCAGAACTTGATCAATTTGGACATTATAAAGGTCTTCACTTCCCAGCAGTATTCCTTCTCATGATACGAACTTTTGTGTGAAACCTTAGGGGGATTTGGTTTGAGAAAAATGTTTTCTATTTTCATTTTCTGTTTCCACTTATAATTACAAAAATTTCACTTTACTTTCACTTTGTTTCCAATTTTCTAATGTAAAACTATAAAAAGTTGTTTTCATCATTTCCCCTCTCAAATCTTTAAATATAGGAAACAAAATGAAAACAAGATGGCATTTTTGTAATTAAAAGTGAAAGCAGAAAGCTTTTTTACAAACCAAACATCCCCGTATTTCCTTCATTTTCATTTCTATATTCTGTTATGCTCATAAATGATATCTAGTTTGTCCTGCTTGTTGACTATGAACTATAAATTCCAGGTTCGCAATAAGCCTATTGAGCCTCCGAAAAAACCTGAAAAAGCTCCATTCTTCTTGCCTTCCGTTCCATCCCTCTCTGGGGAAATATTGTTCGAGTCTGATAAGTTATCATTAAAGGAGAACAATGGAACAGATGATGAAAACCAAATGAAGAAGACAAGATTAGATATGCCACAATCACGTTTTCTGTATCTTCTTCAAAGCTCAAAAGAGACAGACAATTGTAAGAGTCCATCTATTTTCTTTTTATGTGCATCTTGTATGTTGATTGTGGTCAATTAATTATAATTTTTCTCTGAAAATTTATATTGCAAGCATCTCTAACATTTAACATTCCATATTACAGATGCAGCATTCACTGATTATATTAAAGGATTATCTCCATCAACTCTGGATATGGAGCTTCGAATGTTTCAGATCATTGATGATGATGATGATGGTGATCAACAAAAAGCAGAGAAGAGACCTGAGTTGCTATCAATAGAACGGCTTCTAGATTATTTTATTCATGAGCTTTCCTCAAGAAATAATTTTGAGTTTCTACAAGCTGTCATCAGGTTATTTTTGAAGGTTAGGGACTTCTTTCCTTTTGCAAGTTTGACTGTTTATCTTGTTTAAATGAATGTGATATTCCTTTTCTTGTTTTTTTTTTTTTTTTTTGCTGATTTTATGTTTAAAAATTTCTCATCTTGCCAGATACATGGTGAGACAATTCGGCAGCAGTCAAGCTTGCAAGAAAAGGCAAGGAAGCTTCTAGATATTCAGTGCATGGTATGGCAGAGGGTAGATAAATTATTTCAAAGTTCTAGGTGTGTGGTTGCGTTTCTTAGTAATTCCCAAATTTAGGTGACGAACCTTCAACTTGCAAATGGCGACCCTCGAGTGATAGCAAAGACAAAGAAAATGAAAACAAAATATTGAATTAGTGATGGCAAGCATTTGTTCTTGCATCTTTCCGTTGGATTGTTAGAAAAGTCAGGGCAGCAAATTTGTTAAAAGATGGTGATGAGTTTTTGTATTATCATTGTCAATTTTTGAGGGTGATCTTGACGAGGAATTCTTGTAACGGGATAAAATAGTATGGTGTGCACAACATGCCTGAGCCTTTTTTGTAACGCGAATTTGTATCACAGCCAAATTGCAATTTACATTATTCATCTGTGCTTTATTTAATAGAAATTTACAAGCGTTTATTCCCTTTTTTTTCTCCTTTACTGGTAGTTTTGTAGCTGACGGTAGATACAAGAGATGGGGAAAGTAATATACAAAATCAGAAAATAATATCTTAGGACTTGTTTTTGCATGATTATGCTGTTGCTCTTTTTATCCTTTGCCAGGACAAAGCAGCACGCAGCTTTGATATTCTCCAAGGGCCCATATGGGAAAGATGTTTCTATATGTAGAGTAATTGGAAGTACAATGCTTGTTGAAGACCCGTGATTTCCTTCCTACACAAAATCATGTTAGGTACTTGGAGATGTATAGATCACTTGTGACAAACGGATTTAAAAGGATCAGAGTTTCGTATGGTTTGCTATCATGTTTTCTTTACATCAGTAGCTAATCAATAACTAGAATACCATGACTGTATCAAAATACATTTATCCCATTTAAAATAAGGATTACCTTAGCTTGACATGCTGGCTTGGTTTATGTACAAATGGATTAATAAAAAATTAATTTTACAGTATTGAAATAGTGGTTGTGACTTGTTACATACCTGTTGGGGAAACTCCCAGTTTTCCGTTTGTGAATTGATCAAAACCTTTGCCGCACGATGCAATGGAGTTGGATCTCTTTGGGCCTATTTACCATAAAATAGATAAATGATGACCCATTGCATCTCTTTGGGCCTATTTACCATAAAATAGATAAATAATGACCTAAGAATTATGATTCTAAAAAAATAGGTTCTTTGCTATGGACGAAAATCACCTGTCCCCTATTCGTGTCCTATTTTCTGTCCCACCAATCAATAAAAGTCATGTCAATTATATAGCCACGTCATTCTGATTTGAGTTAGAATAAAAAACTAACGGAGTTAAAAAATGTAACCAATTCTCATGTTTTGTTACATTCTTCCGCGAACAGATTCAAACATTAATACCTGGAAAATGAAAACCCCACGCTTGTAGGCTTTGTAATTCTTCTCATCCTCTACATTGTGGAACCCCTATGCGTCTCTCATTTGTATACAAACAAAAGTAATATTCAAACCTAAAAAAGAAATCATAATTCATATAATATGAATTAAAGCAGCGAGAAAAGGAAAGTAATAATATGAAACATCTCAACGAAAAAAGCAGCGAGAGGTTTAGTGGTGAAGAGTGAAGGAGGAGGGTGCTGCTGCCGCCTGCAGTTACTACCATTTTCTTTTTGGATAGTTTTTTCTTTCCTCAACAAAGCATATGGATCACCCTCTACATTGTGGAACCCCTATGCGGTTACATTTTTTAACTCCGTTAGTTTTTTATTCTAATTTATTTTTTAACTCCGTTAGTTTTTTATTCTAATTTATTTTTTAACTTCGTTAGTTTTTTATTCTAACTCAAATTAGAATGACATGACTATATAATTGACATGACTTTTATTGATTGGTGGGACAGGAAATAGGACACGAATAGGGGACAGGTGATTTTCGTCCCTTTGCTATACCTGTCTTGCTTCTATAAGTGTCAGTATAGCCCATGCAATGTTCAAGAGATCTCTTAATTAAAATGCGTGATGATGGATAAAAGTTGTTGTGTTGTGAAGTTAAAATGTTATATTGTTAAGTTGTTGTGTTGATAAGTTGAATAATTATGTTACTATGTTGTGAAGTTGATGATTAGTTGTGTTGTTGAGTTTGACATATAATTGTTGCTGAGCAATTGATGTTGTTTATATAGTTAGCTTAATTGTTTCTATATATGTGTTTCTTTTACATATAAGCTTACCCTTATTTTTTCATGTTATTATTATTATGATAGTAGGGTAAGATTATGTTAAAAGGTTCGTTTGATGAATGATCATGTTAAAGATAACTAATTCATTTTGTTCTATTTTAATGAAGCGTGTAATAATTATTACTTGAATTACAATTAAAGACTTTTATGTTTTACAGTCTAATATTTATGTATACAAGATTTAGTTATAATCTCACTAAAGAAATTTATGTTTTCAGTTATTTATTCTTTACACACATTTCATATCCATGAATAGCTAAATTATGAATATTGTTGAAAGGAATAGACATGTGATAATTAATGTGTAAATAATTTGTTGCCAAAAGTTAAGGGGAGTAGTTTGGCATTTATGTTTGTTAACTCATGATTGAAATTTGATCTCCAATTTAATCATGAAGTCGTGACCCCACTTTACCTCTATAGTTTAGGAAGGAGTTATACTTTATGACTAAAATAAAAAGAATAATTTCTTCCATCTCCATAAATTAAATACCATTACCTTATTAACGGAGGCAATACAATTGTAGTTAGTGTTTTCATCTGATAGTGTATATGCTGTATTACATAATGGAGTGCTTTCTCCCTTAGTTTGCAGCAGGGCCAGTGGACGAGAAGAGGTTCCCCAATATTGTGAAGAAAACCCCATAAAATAGTTTGAACCATTGGGCATTCATGGTACAAATCGTCCTGCAATAGTTTGTTAACAACATATTATTATCAGATATATTTCCTTTATAGTAAGATTAATAATTTTTTGTTCAATATTACAAATATTTGTTTCTCTGCTTGAGTCGTGAGTAGATATGAGCTATTTACGTGAGCTGGAGACATATAACTTACAATAAAAAAAGAGAGAATGATATATATCTTGGCACATAAATTTTGAGCTCAGTTCCAGTCGAGTAGATGATAAGGAAGGGTGTAGAGCTCTCTTCTGAGGGATAAAACAATTTGGTTGATAGAACCCACAAATCTTCTACCGTATAAATACGACATCGGTAGATACACCAGTCGAGAATGACACCACATCCTTCCTGCAAGTGCAAGCACAGTAAAATGTGTGATTTATTATGAATTCGAAAGTAAAAGTTGTAAACATATTCTTAAGTAGTTTAAAATTCATGAGAACCTGGATGGAAAGGAAGAAAGTAGGGAAGCAGCCATATCTCCGGAGGAATTGGTTTCATACCTCTCCATTCGTACACGCCGAGAACCTACACATTATTCAAAACCAATTACCACATACATTTTGATACCCAACAGATATAAAAGATGGCTCAACAAATGTTGCAACAAGGTATTATATGCCCTAGCACGAGCTCATTTTCATCTCTTATTTTGTTGGTTAAAAAAAAAGGGCGACACTCGGAGATTTTGCACAGATTATAAAACTTTAAATGCCATTACTATTTAAGATCATTTTCCTATGCCAACTGTATATGAATTACTGTATGAATTGTGTGGTGCTTAATACTTTTCTAAGTTTGATCTTCAGTCCGGTTTCCACCAAATTTTTGGTTAATCCCACAAATGTATACAAGACAGCCTTTAGGATTCATCATGGCCACTATGAATGGCTTGTCATGCCATTTGCCCTTACTCATGCACACATTTTAGTTCTTAATGAATCAAGTATTTCAAGCTGTTTTACGGAAATATGTCTTGGTATTCTTTGATGATATACTAATATATAGCCCTACCTGGCATGATCATCTACAACATTTGGCTTTTGTCTTGTCTACCTTGCAACAACAGGTGCTGTTTGTGAAGCTTTCCAAATGCTCTTTTGGCTTATCAAAGGTTGACTATCTTGGGCATACTGTCACAGGTCACGGGATTGCAATGGACAAACAAAAAATCCAAGATGGTATTATCTTGGCTACCCCAATCAATGTCAAATAGATTAGGAGTTTTCTTGGTTTAATAGGCTACTATCGACGATTCATGAAGTCATATGCTACCTTAGTTGCCCCTTTCACTAACTTACTAAAAAAAGAGGCATTCTTTTGGTGTGAGGCAGCTACTGCATCATTTGTGAAACTGAAGACTATTGTTACTTTCGGCCTCGGTGTGGGTGTTGTCCTTAGTCAAAATGGTCATCCTATTACATTTTTCTCAAAGAAATTGGCTCCAAGAATGCAATGACAATCAACCTACACCATAGTATTATTCTTATTACTCAAGCGTTGGCCAAATTTATACATTACTTGTCTTGGCCACAAATTTGTTATTAGAACTAATCGAAAGAGCCTTAAAAGCCTCATGCATTAGTCCTTACATACACTAGAGCAATAAGCTTGGCGGCACAAATTCATCGACTATAACTTCACCATAGAATAACAAGCTCGGCAAGGAAAATATTGTTGTCGATGTCTTTTCCAAGTTATTGCTGATGGCTTGGTCTAAGCCTCAATGCCAATTTTTGATTGACTTAAGGAAAGAGATTACCACCAATGAACACTTGAGCAACATCGTTCAGCTCTATCAACAAAATATTGGACCTGACCCAAATTATGTTGTTAAGGAAGGTCTATTATATTGGAAAAGGTTGGTACTACCTTCTTTCAGTCCCCTCATGACAAAATTTTTGTTGGAATATCATAGTTCACCTATTGGAGGACACCCTGGTGTAACAAGAACCCTTGCCAAAGTCATATCCCAATTCTATTGGCCCAATATGCGATTTGATATCAAAGAGTTTGTGCAAACTTGCTCTGTTTGCCAATTCCTCAACAACTTTGGGAGGACATTGCCATGGACTTCATCATAGGTTTACCCCTATCATTTGGTTACACTATCATTTTGGTGGATATGGATCGCTTGCATAAATATGGTCACTTCATGGCTCTCAAATCAGATTACTCCAACAAAGTGTAACTGATGTACTCATGTCTAATGTTGTGAAACTACATGGGGTTCCTAAGTCAATTGTCTCTGATTGAGACAAGGTTTTCACCGGTAAGTTTTGGCAAAACTTATTCCAACTACAGTGCACTACTCTTTCCATGAGCTATGCGTATCATCCACAACCTGATGGTTAGGTTGAAGCTTTAAACAAGTGCCTTAAGATGTAGTTGTAGTGTTTTACTTTTGATAATCTTAAGAATTGGTTCAGAACTTTGTCAGGGTAGAATATTGGTACAATGCCACATTTCAAATGAGTTTAGGCATGACTCGTTTTAAATCCCTTTATGGAAGGGACCATCCAACATTAACAAGGTACAATACTAGTACCATTGATCCTCCAGACCTACAGAAATTGCTAGTCAACTGTGATGTGTTAATATCACAACTAAAACAAAATTTGATGCAGTCTCAGGAAATCATGAAAAGCTTGTTGGGATACAAATAAATCCATATCGATAAAATAAGAGAAGAAATAACAACTTATAAAACACACATATACTCCAATGATAGAGAGATCTTTTGAGTGATGACCAAAAGTAAAATTATGAGGGCTTAGACTCAAAGTGGACAATATCTCATCATTGTGGAATTGTGTGTGAAATAACCTTATAAAAATAATTCTTACAAAATATCCCTTCAAACATATATCATAAAATAATCTCATCAGTGGTATCAGAGCTGCAAGTAGGATTTGGTGACAACCAATAAATTATAACCCTTATAAAGTGATAAGTGATAATGTAATATACAAAGACAGATTCCGCTACATGAAATGTTAGGTCCCTTGTTTGAAGGACGGATTGTTAGGATACAAACAAGCCTCACATCGATAAAATAAGATAAGAAATAACAGTTTATAAAGCACACATATATTCTAATGATTAAAAGGACTTTTGGGTGATGATCAAAAGTAAAACCATAAGGACTTAGGTCCAAAACGAACAATATCTCATCATTGTGAAGTTGTGTGTGAAATAACCTTATAAAAATAATCCTTATAAAATATCCTCTTATACCATAAAATAACCCCATCAAAGCCCGGTTGACAAGAGGAGAAAGGATGTGAACTTGGAAGTCAGTGACTTAGTCTTGGTTCGGCTGCAACCATATAGGCAATCCTTGACTGCATTGAGAAATAACTAGAAATTAAGCATGAGATACTGTTAGATATCAAATTTATTTAAATTGGTTGTTGAAAATAAGACATCTAACTTTTCTTCCAAGTCTTTTTCTTTGTTTAAAACTCAAAATTAGTTAACTTTTAGAAGAATTATAGTTAGTAAATTACTTTATATATTATAACTATTTAGCCCATTAATATTAATAATATTTCTTGTTAGGTGCAATCTTTACTAAGTGGAAAAATCAAGATTTGGGAGAAAAAGACAAACAGAACTTATTTTGAAGGCAAAATAGGAGGGAGAAGCAAAAGAAACAAACCAAATTCCCATCAAAGCATATTAGGTCTGGCGAATATTTTACTTCAAGTTGAATAAATCTCATTTTCACCCAGCAAAATAGATGTGGCTAGGCAATTTCTACCCTGTTATAAAAGGAAACAAATTGAATTATAAAATAGGGACCTTCTCTCTCATTTGGGGACTCTCTCACTCCACACCAAAGCCATCATGTTGAAGATCTCGGAGGCGATTCTAACATTTAGGAACAACACGATGACACTTTTTCTTTCTTCTTCTTCTTCTTTTTTTCTTTGTGAGTTGGATCTCATGGAAATGACTAACTAACCTTTTCTTGTTGGGATTGGATGTAGAAATAGAACTAAAATCATTAATTTTTAAAGGATTTTTTTTAATGTGAGTTCTCCTTTTTAAATATGCAAGGAATTGATATTTAAGGGAGGAAACTTAGAATCTCTTTACTAAGGAATTAGTATTGAGTGACTCTAATCTAGATAATATTGTAGGAGAAGAATTAAAATATATATGTCTATTAAAGTTACAAGAAGATGTAGTGGGTGAAATCTAGTCCCAAACATCTTATATATGAATTTCTATAACTTATTTACATGTTCATTTCTTGTTTTATGTTTTATCAATTTGAATTTTTAGTTTAATGAATAAAACTATGAACTTCTATGAATCTATTGTATAAATTTATTTCTTGTTTTTCTAAATTAATTGAGAATCAATCAATCAACCTAGTTCTTGAGGAGACGACTTTACTCACTATTATTACAAGTTGACTCTGGTATGCTTCCTAGAATACACTATATTCCATGCTTCTCAACTCAAACCATTCAAGGTTTCTACTAATGACCCTTACCTACCACTACCATTATTAACTTCCAAAGTGGGGCCTATATTACAACCAACTGCAGTATTAGCCAGTAGAACTATACCGAAAGGCAGCTTGCAAGTCCCTCAAGTCTTATTTCAGTGGACAAATGCTACTACAGATGAGACCACTTGGGAGGACATACTAGATATGCAATTGACGTATCCTAATTTCCACCTTGGGGACAGTGTTGCTTTTAAAAGTGAAGGTATTGTACCGAGTAAAAAGGACAAAAGTGTTGACTATGTAGAAGCGCATGGAAAAAGACAGCTTGCTCAAGAGTTTCTTAAGGATTCAGTGAGAAGAGGCCAAAGGAATTGTGTAACAAACATGAGGCTCAAGGATTATGTGTGAGCACATGTATATGAGAGAGTGGAGAATTGGGGAGGGGGGGAGCAGAAATTGAAGAATTTAGAATCCTTCTTCTCTGGTTGTACCTTTCCTCTATCACCTAAAATTCTACTTTCTATTGTAGTGTTTATTTTACCGATTGTACTATTCCTTCAGAAACCATGCTTTGGAAGTTGAATTGTTGAATTTAATGATTCAATAAAGCAATACACTACACTTCATTCATATTACTTATCTCTCCTCTTATAAATTTCAGTAATAGATCATTACAATGAGGTTCCACATTATCATTGTCAAGTTTTTTAGGGCGATAATAACGAGGAATTTTTGTAACACAAATTGCAATTTTCCATCATTGCTTTATTTAATACAAACTTTCAAACCTTTACAGGTAGTTTTGCATCTAATTGCAAATTAATTACATACAAAAACAGAAAATAAAACTCTTAGGACTTATTTTTACATGATTATTTTGCTGTTGCTCTTGAACCTTGGTTAGTAGATAGCAGTACGCGAGTTCGATATTCTCCAAGAGCCCATATGGGAAAGATGTTTCTATATGCAGAGTAACTGATAGCACAATTCTTGTTGAACACTCCCATGATTTCCTACAGTGATAGACAGAGCGATTTATCATTAATGGTTGCTAAAACTTAAACTTGTCCATTCGTAATTTTACAGGTTGTTACTTGTTACCTACCTGTTGAGGAAACTCCCCGTTTTCCATTTGTGAATTGATCAAAACCTTTGCCGCACGATGCAATGGGGCTGGATCTCTTTGGGCCTATATACCATAAAATAGATAAATAATTACCTTCTAAGAATTATGATTCTAAAAGAATAGGTTCTTTGCTATACCTGTCCTGCTTCTATAAGTGCCAGCATAGCCCATGCAGTGTTCACTATATGAGATTTGTTTCCCTCCAAATTTGTGTATACCTGTGTTAGTTGTACTTGTACCATTAATTAGTGTTGTAAAAAGTTATTATGCTATGCTGAAAGGGCAAAATAGTTGCATGTTACCTTCTTTTGGCATGAAATATAGCTCTCTCCCCACCCACCATCAAGTTGCTGTTTGGAAAGCAAAAAATCACATGCTCTTCTCATGCTGTGGCTATATTCGTACCTCTTACTCGCAGCTATAAGCCCCTTTATCCCAAACCATGTTCCGTAGGTGTAGCAGATTCCCCATGACCCATACCTAGTTAATTCATTACATATATTTATAAGTTTTGTCTCTACAATAATGTACTATATAAATAAAAGTCTCGAGAAAATTGCATGAAACAAATATGAGTTAATATTCAATGCTTTAAAGTTTAAACAAATCAGACAAACCACGAGCCATCGGATAACTGCATGCTTTCAATATAGTTCACTGCCTCAGTAATACAAGTTTCTATTTCTTTCCTTTTGTGCCCTGGGTATCGTTCTGTGAATAAGGCAAGACCTTGAATCACTGCTGATGTGCATTCTACGTACCTATAATAAAATTATGGACTCATGATTCTAAACAATAGCATATAAAAAAATTCAAGAAAATTTGCCAGACGTACTGATAATCGATCATGACATCTTCAAATGTTTCAGTTGGATTTATTTTCTGTGACAGAAACCATGAGTGTTAAAAAATTGAATCTACCTCCCTTATTTAAGATAAAATAAGTTTTACCTCCAGCCATGCATAAGATCTTGTGAGCTCATAGGATGCAAATCCGCCGTTTTTATTCTGTAATATTATGCAAAACAATATGATTAAGCCATGATGCTCAAGTTCTAAATTTGAGATTTTAAATTGTGATTGCAGGCCCAATTGTTTCCCTTGTCACCAACTCACTACCATCTAAAAATTCTCCTGACCCTTCAAACTTTCCCCTGAATCTAATACGTCATGAAAGAGAAATCTTTAGTGGGTAGTGAGTACCTGCATGGATAAAATCAAATTAACAGCATCATATAGCTGTTCTGTTTCCACTGCTTTTCCAACAGTCTCAAATGGCAAGTTTGATAACAAAATGGCTGCCTGAAAATAATATGAACAGGTTAAACAGTATGATTAATTTCATATAAACAATTATTTAAAAAACTATTAGCATACTTTGAATATGATTCCGAAGTTCTACCATCATCTAATTAATTTTATTCTAGCATATAAATCACTATGATTATGGTTCATTTGCTTTCCAAAATTATAGGTCAGCACGAACTTCGATCAAAATTCAAAATAGTAAATTATAGATCAATGAAATCTAGCATTCGCAATGCTATGTTTTTTTCTTAATTGAACTGACATTAATGTTTGACAAATTGAGATGTTATTGAAATTAATGGCAACCCCGTTCATGATCACCTTCAAGCCTTCTGCAGTGCAATCTGAGACAGGCCAACCATTGTCTGCAGTTGAGAAAGGCCAACCACCTTTAGAAACGTGGCGATACCAGTAACTTGGATTGCCAGAGCTGTTTGCTGTAATCTTCAAAGTCAAACCCAAACCCCATGTATTTATCATAATCAGTATTTCATAGTCTTGGTTTCTTCCACAACGTACAACTTTAAGTCAATATACAATACCTGTGAGCATCTTATGAAATTATTTGCTTTCTTAAGCATTGGACCATATTCATCCTCAAGATCGGTAGCTAAGATTGCTTGAACAGATAATGCCACATCCCAAAATTGAGAACCACTATATCCCTGACATTGAATTACCTTCATCAGAATTTTCAGGATCTAAATTCAAATTAATGTACATGCATTTGTGAAGTTTTGTAGACGAAGATAATTTATATTTCCCATCAAAACTTAAATACCATATTGGTGACAGAAAGAATATAATTGGTGTAGAAGTAGAACCTGCATTTTCATTCCATCCTCAGCCACCCAGAGATAGTCTTTGATTCTTGAAATGTGACACTTAAATGCCTGAGAATTGGGGTTCTCTAACCAACAACAAACCATGTTTAATACCTTACTAACGGGACCAATGCAGATATAGTTGGTGTTTTCATCCTCATAGTGTATATGCTGCATTACATGATGGAGTGCTTTCCGCCTTAGCTTGGAGCATGGCCAGTGCTCGAGAAGAGGTTCCCCAACATTGTGAAGAAAACCCCATAAAATATTTTGGATCATTGGGCATTCATGGTATAAATCTTCCTGCAATGATTTGTTATTATAATTTATTTTAAGTCAACTATGCTTCTTAAGAGAGAGAAAAACACGTGCACACACCTTGGCACATAAATTTGGAGCCTCATTCCAGTCTTGTAGATGATAGGGAAGGGTATAGAGCTCTTTTCTGAGGGACAAAACAATTGCGTTGATAGGACCCACAAATCTTCTACCATATAAATACGACATTGGCAGATATACTAATCGGCAGTGACACCACATCCTTCCTGCAATTAAGACCATGTCAACTTTCTCTATACTATCATCATAGATGTCCCGCAATCGATTCGGGAATAATTTCTCTAGAAGAATAGAGATTATAAAAATATTTATGTCTATCGCAACAAAATTTTCTCTGTACATAATTATCTAATATAATTTTTGACATTATATAAATAATAAAGAACAAAGTTTTTTATAAATAATAAAAATAAACTAACCAAACTTTTTTTTCCCTTTACATCTCTTCTCATCCAAATAGTTAAGAACTACATTTTCTCTCACTTCTTACTTATATATTTCTATCTTCTCAAAATCATTTTAACAAACATACCATTAATTCAGTTATATATTCGTAAAAAGTGTGATCGAGTATAGTAATTAGTAATTTTTTTTATTTAGATTCGAGTTAATCACCTATACATCGTCAATGTAAAAATAAAAAAAAAAATTTATACTGACAATCAATTATATTTTTTAATTGTATAATGTTATTATAAACATATTTATTTTTAACAGAAACATGATATAACTAAAAGATATATTTGGTTGTTAGTATAAAAAAATTTTATACTAATAGTGTATAGGTGATTAACTCTTTAAATTCGTATTCATGATGAAGGTAGTCTGAGAGGGGGAAACTAAAATTCAACCTGGATGAAAAGGTATAAAGTAGGGAAGTAACCATATCTCTGGCGGAATTGGCTTCATACCACTCCATTCGTATACACCAAGCACCTATATTCCAATTAATAATAAGTATTCATTATACACTGACATGCCAGTTTATATACCACTTGCCATAATCAAAACCTTATCATACATACACAGATGAAGTTTTTCATCACAAGTACTTTTAGAAGGTAATCTTAATTGAATTAATACAGTAACTGAGATTTGTGATTCTAGGTCGTGAAAATTAATTCAAATCGAGTGGGTCCCATGATTATATAATCAAGGATTGAAGGTAAGTAAAATTTTTTAGGAGAATTTCTACACTACCCTCACAATATTATAGAGTTTTGATACTGTAGGTTGAACTTGTGTCATGTCATTGTTTTGTATTTTAATTCTGAAATTATTATAAATTTTAATTTAGTCTTTAGTTAATAAATTAATTTTTTTTAAGTTTAGAGACTACAAAGTGCAAACCCAAGCCTGATGAAGGGCATACAACTTGATTGCTTGAGATAAATAGAAACTATAATAAAGACTAGATTGCTTGAGATAAAAATAAAAAATAAAATTTGGTTGATTGAGGAAAGAAAAGAGATTCAAAACCGATAATCCCATAACTCTAAACTTCACTTTCTTGGTTTGTATTTCCAAATGATGCATCTAGTGAGTTTCTGATAACTTGGATAGAAAATAACTGATAATTAATTTTTAATTTGAAATATGTAATGATAAGAATTCTTAGCAAATTATAACAAAAACTTAAATAAAATTAAATAAAATGTTAAAAAAATTGACATGACATTATTAATTAACAGGTGCTTAACTTATTGATCCATATAAGAAAAGATATCAAAATCATTCAATTTGTTAATGTACGGTAACAACTCATTTTTTTTAATTATTAGATAAAGTTTATATATGTTACTTTAGATTTATGCATATTTTTATTTAATATATTGTTGTGTTTTTATTTATTTATTATTAAAACAAGGACTTAATTACCGAAAGCCAGAGTTTGCCCCAGGAAGGAGTGTAAATGACCCCGCCACGATGAAGAATCCATGTCCTTGCTTTCTGCATGGCGCCTTCTCCACCGTCGATATCTTCTCCAAGCAATCTCAACGTCACATAATTCAGAGCTGTGCAAAACATTGTGCTGGGACCTTCTATATGCAATCCCCACCCTCCATCTTCGTTCTGCATGTTGACAACTCAATACTATATAACATGACAAGAATACGCGTGATTGAATTTTTAATATTGGTTTCTCCTTCCTAGTCAATCATTTTATAAATACTATGAAGAAAGAATCACGTGTCCTAAATAATTTTTTTTAAAGTAAAATAGATTAAAAAAAAAAGAGTTAATAGTGTAAATTATAGTTTTAAAAATTGGACTGGTCATCAAATCAGTTAGGACATTAGATTAGTGGATCAAATGTTGGACCGGTAGGTTACTAATTGAACCGCATGACCCGATTTTTATTAATTTCTCTAAAAATAATATTCATGTTAAACATATTTTATACTTATAAATTTCAATAAATTCATATCCTATCTTAAATTTCAATTTTTATCTTATTAAAAAAATATTTTGAATAAAAAAATATATAAAAAATATTTAAATTTTTTTTGTTGAACCGGTTTGACCCACCAGTTCAACCTACTGGTTCATTGGTTGAATCAGGAAACTAACCGATTCACTCCGATTTAAAACGAGTCGAATACATAATCGATCCAACTCAAAATTCAAACCGACAAGACCACCAGTTCCCGGTTCAATCTTAATTTGATAATTTTCCCTTTGGTTATATTTAAATATTTATTTTATTAATTAATGATAGCTCTTGGTTTATTGCTTTGCATAGTGAAACCAAAATGTATTGATTGCCATAGAAATCTTAATTACAATTTTAATGACCATGGTATTGATGCAAGCTGGGATCTAAAATTTTACATCTAATGAAAATCAGTTTTTTTTTTTTCAAAAATAAAATTATGTTTAGCGACCGATTTAGCGACCGAAAAGAAAATTAATTTTTTATTATAATAAAATTTAGCGACCAATTTAGTGACCGAATTGAAAATTATTTTTAAAAATAATAAAATTTAGCGACCGAATCAGAAATTATTTAAAAAAAAAATACACTTGGTGATCGATTTCGCGACCGAAATAAAAATTATTTTTTTAAAATAATAAAATTTAGCGACCGATTTAGCGACCGAAATTAAAAATAATTTTTTATTTTAAAAATTGTTAGCGACCGATTTAGCGACGGAAAGGAAAATTATTATTTAAAAATTTAAAAATGAATAACACATTTAGCGACCGATTTAGCGACCTCTTTTTCGGTCGCTAATTTGTCGCTAAACAACTTTGCGACCAGGGTTTTTGCAACTACTTCAAATCGGTCGCTAATTCGGTCGCTAAAGTAAATAGCGACCGATTTAAGTAATTTAGCGACCGATTTTTGTGGTCGCTAAAATCCTTTTTTTTTGTAGTGACTAGTGTAAATAGTTATATAGATTTAATCAATGATAAGTACTAAAATTGTCTATATGTTTTTTAATAATTAAAAGTACAATCGTTCATAAATTATGGAAATGAAAAATAATTATAAAAATAAATATTTTCTTTATATATTAATGATTATGTTCCCATAAAAAATGATTATGTTATAAATATTCTATTCCCATCAAAAAAATTAGATACACATTTTAAATTTAATGATTATGTCCATACAATCAACCATTCATATAATTTTTTAGTTATTTATTTCAAAAGCGAAAAGTCAACAAATTTATTATGATATGATTTTGTAAAATTATTTTACATTATAGATGGAAAATCTATTTTCTTATATATTTTTAATATAAATTTTTTTTTACATTGTTAATTGATTTGATATAATTTTTGGAATGATTATTACTAGAGACAACAAATTTATCATTAACTATGATTTGTAGTTGGATGATAAAGTGTAACAAAAATTAGTCATATTTTTTCCCCTCTTGTTCTAAACCACAAGTATATTGATGCTAATTTAGTCACAGCTGAGTGACTGAAAAGGATACAAAGTTACAAAACATATATTGATAATATAGTGTCATATAAAATACTAATGTCACAACTATTGGATGCTAATTTATGTATATACCTGGTGATTGAACAGATAGCGCCGCATCTCGCTTTGATGTTGCGGGGTCAAGACTGCATTAAGGACCCCAGTCACCGACAACCCAATCACCTACACATAAACATAATTTGGTCCCCAAATTAATTTATTATTATTTGTTAATAGCCAGCATTGACAGGTATATATAAACAAAGTTATCGTCACATAATATGTAAACTTATTTTGGATCCGTACATTGGAGAATATAAAAATTTGATGATCCCATCATACCACGTTATTAAATTTATGAAAGCTAACAAACATTTCGTCACTATATATTTTTATTAATAGAGGCCTTTGTTCAATTGAGATTTTTATAATACATAAGAAAATTGATTACAGTTGCGAATGTTACCAAGGCAGAGAGAAGAAACAAAGGGCCGCCATAGTCACCAGGCCAGAAACCATCATCGGCTTGCAGGGCTGAGTAAGATCTTAAGGCTCTTTTCAATATGCTTCCCACAATTTCCTCGTTTATGTCTTCCTCGCTTTCTATTTTTATCTTTTTCTCTTTCGTTTTTAAGCCTTTTTCCCTTTCAAACTACCAAACATGTATAATAATTAATTAGCACCCATATATGTGAACAACATCCAAAACAAAGGAAAAAACAAAACTGCCTAACGAGACTCTATTATATGGCGTGAAGTTGAATAATTGGATAATTTAAATTTTAAAGCCAAGAGAATCAAGATCATGACATGTATGGAGATCATTGGTAATCAAAGTAAATCACGATTATTGGATCTAACCAAAAAAGTACATCGGATCAATTTCAAGAATTGGAGGATTCAAATTCCATACAAAATAATTAAATTGCTTTCAATTTTTTTTATCCCATCTAAGTTAAATTAATTAAAATTGATGTCCATTAGTTTGACTATCAAATTTACACATTTAATTAAAATCAATGTTGATTAGTTTGACTATCAAATTTACACATTTAAAATCTAAATCAATTCAAATTAAAATCAAATTTATTATTATTTTTATTTAATTAATAATTAATATGTAAATGTCATTTTAATTATTTTGAAAAAAAATTGTGTTATAATACATAAAAAAATTTCATCCCTTTTCTCAAATACTTAAATAAATTAAGAGAAATTATATTTCAATATATTGACCAATACATTTAAAACCTTTAAGTAAATTAAGAAAAGAAATTAAGAGTAACTATATTACAAATTAATCAATCTAATTAACTTTTGACAATATATCAATCTAGTTAATGTTAAAAAGTCTATTTATTTTAAGAAAAAAATATTTTAATTTTTAAAAGAATTATTGGATATTCAATGACCTGAATCAAACCAATTTGATCAATACTAGATTAATTTAATTCGAGTTTAAAAAATTTATAAAATTTAAATAAATTTAATTTAATTTGTTTAAATTAGATTTTCACTTAAATTCAAACTAATTCGACCCATAAAAAAAACTAAAATTAAAGAATATATGTAATATGTGAATTTTTTTAAAGGTCAATCAGTGATTTTTAACCTTAATTATTTATGTATGATCGTATATATAGTTTAAATTTATTTTTTATGATCGTATATATGGTTTAAATTTATTTTTTTCACCCCTTTTATTCAAGTACCCCTCTTACGCTATACATATATATAGCATATAACTAAGACCAATTTTCATTTTTAAAAATGTGAAAACTATAAATTTGAACTTAAAACAATTATACGTTACATAAACAAAATTAAAAATTAAGTAGTGGTAACATGACTACTTAAAAAAAGTTATGTGATATTTTTTAATCTCAAACATTCTAATATGATAATACTATATTTATCATTTTTATTTCTCATTTGATAAAGTCCTTAAAAATTTTCTTAAATAATAACTCTATCTAATAATAATTATTAAATGTGATGATAATAACAACAATGATTACAATAATATTAAAAATTGTGACAATAATAATGATAATAATAATAATACTTATGATTCTAACACTATTATTATTTAAGAAATTTTAAGCGAGTCTTTTAATTAATTTAAACTTTATATTTTAATTTAAGAAAAATATTTTTGAATGATACATTGGTTAATTAAAGAATGAGAAAGGATTCATTTACTCTAAGAGTGAGTTTACCTACACTTATCTTACTCAATAATTCATGTTCTATATTAAATTTCTACGATCTAACTGTTAAATTAAAAATTCTTGATGCATAGTTTAAGTCCGTAAAATTTAAAAAAAAATTAAAATTATTTAATATCTTGTTTCATTAATTTAAATTAATGTATAAAATATTTTTATTGTTATCCGTTAATTTGAATTAATGAAACAAAGTATTGAATAATTTTTAAATTTTTAAAAATTATACTAATTTAATTTATGCATTAAAAAAATTTAATTTAATAATTAAATAATTAAAATTTAATATAAAATATAAATTATTGAGTGAAATAATTCAAACAAGGACATCCTCCTCTTAAAAAGAATTATATGTACCTGGAGTCTCATTAAGAGATCGGAACTGTGCTTATATTTGAAGCGGTTAGTGTTAAATTGTTGACGAAGTTGATCCACCTGAGCTCTGTCTTGCTGGTTTCCAAGATGTGGATCAAACTCCCAGAACTGTCTTCCCATATGGTTATTCATGCTGCACTCCTCCTCTTTGCTTTCTGAAAGCTTCAACTTCCACATCCTCGATCACTATCCCTTCTTCTCTTTGACTTTCTAACAATAAATTAATAATACTGTAATTGGCCTGGTAAGAGTCAAACATGCAAGCCAAATGTCATGAAAATATTTGGTCTAACTACATCTTCACTTTGAGTTTCAGAATATATTCCAAGACGTACAACTTGGAAGATCGTAAACATAGACAAGTGAATTGGACGAATGATAAAAATTGATATACCTTACTGTTTAAGGAATTAATGTTGACTTATAGGTGTTCTCTCTATTCAAAGTGGGAAGGAATATTTAAAATAAAATACATGTTCTACTTAAATTAAGCTGTGTTGATGATGTGATTATGGGATTGTATCCAGTAGTCTAGACAAAAAAACGGAACGAGGGCTGTGTCTGACGAAGCAAAATAGCATGCAACATTGAAGAAGAAAAAAGGAAAAAGAAAAGGAACATGTTTATTTGTTTTTATCGTCCAACACAATTTTTCTTTTTCTTTTGCATCGGAAGCAAATAATTCACAACTAGCTCGTTGCTTACCTTATCGATCAACTGCGTTTCTTTCCTGGCTGCTAGATAACCCTTTTCTGATTCTTTTTGCATGCCTAGTTTGGTTCAAAATCGGTTTTTATAGGCAACTGGGTTAATTTGTTTAATCAATTTTAATGTCACCACTTGCCTTGCTCATTCGCAGTGAATATATATGGAGACAAACTCAGCCAGCATGAGAAGAGACTCAAAACAATATTATTAATATTAGTAGAGTTTTCTACTTCTTTTTATTTTTATTAAAAAAAATTGAGCACAATTATGAATTAATTATGTGAGAGACGATGAATGTCTTACAGTGAAATAAAAAACAGACTAAAAAATAAAAATATAAATAAAGTAAAAATAAAAATAAAAGAAGACAATTGTGTGAGTAGTGAGAAATTTTCATTTACAAAAAATATATATAATGTGAGATTTTTTAAAAATATTAAAAAACTAAACATAAACAAGTTAGGTGGAAATAAATGGTTTTTTTTTTTTTGAAAAAATTAAAGAATAACAAAATGATTCCAATTAAAAATGAAGAAAAAAAACAATTAGGGAAGGAGATATCCCATTTATTTATTGTTATAGATTTTGAAGGACAAGGTTTAATTCCAACATGATAACAAAAAGCTTATCTCTAATTTTTATTATTTAATAAAATTGTATGTGTAATAATATATTGTTAAAATATAAGAACAAATTGATAAGTAATATAGTGGGAAGTTTGTTCTAATTTAAAGTGTGGAGACATAGTTTGATTTTTCCTTCTACCAATAGGCTTGTATTTAAAATTTTAGTATTTTAAAAATCAGTTTTAAAACCAAACCAGTTCCTTAGGTTGTCAATTTTAAAAATCTGGGGCTCAATCTTATTAATTAGATTTGGTTTGATTGCATAAATTATTTAAAAATAAAATAAAATTGCACTACATATTGTTACTATACTCTCTCTCTCTCTAAACTATATCATAAAAGTGGTCTCTTTTCGATAAGAAAGAGCAATGACTCCTTTTAAAATCCTTAAAGATTATTGAAAGATAAGACTTAACACTTTAGACAATGAAGGATATATATCTTATTTGAATCTTTAAATAATAATATATGACATTCATAATTCATTAGATAAAAACACGTGATCAATCCTTCAAATTTATAAGGGGAGTATGACAAGAAGAATAAGGGAAACATTTTTAAGATTGAATTCAAATATGTCATTGAGATAGAAAAAATTGGAGATTTAAAAAGGTTAATAATTTTTTATTAAATGTTTAATACATTATTTTGTACTTGAACTTTTTTGAAATTTTCAATTTGATCCCTAAATTAAAAAATGTAATTAAATCCTTTATTTTTTTATTATATTTTTGTACTTTAGTTTTTATGATTAAACATCTGTTTACAATCTATACAATTTCACAAAATATTCTTGATATATATGTTGATGATGACACAAATTAAATAATTATCTAATATAGTTGTCGAAATGTGTGGATGTTAAGAATATTTTTATGAAATTTCATAAATTGTAAATGAGTTTCTAACTATAAGGTTTAAATTACAAAAAAGTAACAATTAAAGGACCTGATAACAAAAATTATTAGTTTAAAAATCTAATTAAATTTTTTTTAAAAATTCAAAGACTAAATGATGTATTAAATTTTAATTAAGGTTTCATTTGGCCCAACATTTTTTCAACTTTTTTTTTTCTTAAAAGAAAAAAGTCAGGCCAAATACTTTTTTGTAAAAAGCTCTAAAATAATTAGGCTAATTATTTTTTATAGTGGAAATATTGAAAACCTGCAACTTTTGATTAAGCTAGTAGGAACAACTTTTTATGGCTTAGACGGAGAGTATTTATATAATATTTAGACGGAGATAGAAAATAAGCTAGTAAGACTACAAATCAATGTTAATAAAGGATATTTTATTTTTACCCGTCAATATTTACAAATACTCTATCATTGCACTGATAACGGATTACTCTCATTTCATCATTTTTTTAATAAATAAAAGCAAGACATGGAGTGTCTCATTTTCTCCATAATATATAATTTATATTTAAATATATTTTTAATTTTTTGTAAAATTATTTTCTGCATAATATATAATTTAATTTAATAAATTTTTAATTTTTGTAAAATAAATAATTTTGATCTTGATCTTGTAATTTTTTTTATTCTTTTAAAATACATAAATATTATTTTTAGTCTTTATAAAATGAATAAATTTTGATTTTAATTCATGTAAGATATTTTTCTTTGATTTTTGTCCTTCTAAAATCTAAAATTTAGTTTTAATTCATAATGATCATTTTAAGATAGATAAATAACACTCATTTTAAAGATATGTAAAATTCTTTATAAATGTTAAAAATCAATATGATATTAATAATGGTTGTAAGTAACACAACATAGTTACTTAACCTTTTAATATATAAAAAGTAGTTAAAATTATCACATAAAAATAAGGGACTAGAAATAATAATTTTATAAAAATAAAAATAAAAATAAAAAATTTACAAAAATCAAAACTTATTGATTTTTTAAAGACTAAAAATATATTTAATTTTATAATTTATAAATATCTATAACTATTAATAATAAACAAAGTAAGTAATAATCTATAACTCTTAATAAAAAAAACACTTCTTTTTGGAAAGAATCTTGGTGTACTTCAACACCTTTTTGTGATCGGTATAGTAGGCTATTTACTATTACTACTACTAAGGACATTTCAGTTTCAAATATGTTTGTTCGTAGAGAATGTGAATTTGGGTGGAATTAGAGTTGGAGAAGGCCATTATTTGAGTGGGAGTTATCATAATTGTCCTTGCTATTGCTAGATTTGAGTATGATTCGACTTCATGATAATATTGATGATACTTGGCGTCGGAAAGCTGACTCTTAAGGTTTTTATTTTGTCAAATCAGCTTATCATGCCATTATAAATGACTCTATATATGCAGAGATACCTTTGCATAAGTTTATTTGGTGCAGACTAGTTCCCTCTAAGGTCTCTTGTTTGCTTAGAGGGTGATGCTTGATAGAATTCCTTCAAAGGTAAATCTTGTTAAGAGGAATGTTATCCCAAATTCTGTTGTTGGGTGTGTGGTGTACACATCAGGTGGAGACTGCTTCACATATTATGTTTGAGTGTTATTTTGCCTACAATATATGGATGCTTTATTTGGAATGGTGTGGTTTTTCTTATGTTTTGCCAAATACATACACTGGCCATTTTGCACAATTTTTGGGGTTGCCCAATTGTAACCCAAACATGAGATATAAATGGTCCGTGATATGGTTGACTATCCTCTGGAGCTTATGGCTAGCAAGGAATGCAGTTGTTTTTTACGATAAGATTTTTTCTACAACAGATCTGCTTGAACTGATAAAGCTTCGCTCCTAGAAATGGTTAAAGGCTAAAGACCACAACTTTTGCTATCAAATCTCTTCTTGGTCTACACAACCATGTGCATGTCTTAATTTTTTAAGATGAGCTTGCTACCTGTTGTGATTGTTGTTTCGTGAAGGGGTGCCTGTTATTTTGGTTATAATTTGCAAACTCTGGTTCCTTGTTCGGCATCATAAGTTTTGGCTGGTGGTTTTTTTAATTGTCATTATCTCCACGCCATGTGCTACAAGTTTGTTGCATCTAGTTTTAGTGTATCACAAGTATTGAATTGTTAGTTATTAGCTGTTGAAGTTTTAGTAAATTTCTTTGTAATTAGCTTAAATATTCATTCATAAATATGGTTTGTTTTAGTGGTTTATGTTTGGTGAATTGGTGATTTATTACCAATTTACTCTGCTATGTTTTAGCTTTGTATGGATTAGAGTACCCCTTATACTCATTTTTTAATATTATTCACTTTTACCTAACAAAAAAAAACTCTAATAAAAGAAATATGTTATTTTAGTATCAGATTTCTAAATTCTTTTACCTCTCAATATTTACAACTACTCTACTATGATACGGTTAACTGATTATTTTCATTTCATGGTTTTTTTTTTAAGTAATAGCGAAGTGCGAAATACTTATCTTTTCAAGTATATATAAAAGAAATAAAATTAATTAGTTTTAATTAATATAATAATTTAAAATTTAAAGTTTATTTTCAAAATATTTAAATATAATTAAATTATGTTAATGTGAATTATATTTAACGATACTGCTTATAAATCAAAGAATAAATTTATAATAAATTAAATATATAAAATGAAATTATTAATTAATACAGTTAAAAATAAATATATCTTTTTATATTATAACCAAAATAATATTCTTATTTTCTTTTATATAGGTCGAGACAGTAAATTATAATTTCTAGGACTATTTGATAATTTACGAAATTGCGTCTCAAGTTGACAAAATTATTTGGATTAAAATTAAGTAAGTAGATTATTTTGTGATGTACTAATTGCCCAGTCCAGCTAAGTTATGTTTTTGGAGTGAATATCTTATAAAGTAAAATAGCAAAGTATGTTTAAAGTAATAAAATTATTTATATAACATTTAAAATATAAAATTTGTCACACCGATTTTATTGTTTATATGCATTCATTATTTTCATTTCATTTATGTAAAATATAGGTTAAATTATATTTTTATTTTTATTAATTCGTAATTTTGATTTTTTTATTTTAGAATATAGATATTTAACCTTTTTAATTTTAAAAATATAAAATTTAATCTTTAGATTAAATAGATATTTATTAATCATTAAATTTTAATATTTATTTATAGTTAAGTGATGTAATATTCAATAACATACATTTAGAATATAAAAAAAAAAATAAACAAATATATGTAAATAAGATTTTTATTAATAAAATAATTATCAATTAATTCTAAAAATAGATATAAATAAAGATTTTTTATATTTTATTTTTTAGTTTTTATTTTTATATCACATCATTAAATATCATATCTCTTGAGTGATGACAAATCATCATATAAAGTCAAAATTTAATAATTTAATAATATAAAATTGACATTAAGATTAAAATTTTGTTTTTTTAAAAATAAAAGGATAAAATATCTCTATTTTAAAATAAAAATACTAAAATTATGGATCAACAAAATTAAAGAAATTAAAAATGTTAATTATTCTAAAATATAACTCTAATTATTCTC